TTTTTAACTTAATCCAATAGGTTGATTTAATAAGTTTAGACTATATAGTAGATTATCTTGTTTTACTTGTCAACATACTATTTCATTTAGTACAACATTGTTTTGAATTTGATTTTGATAAATTATTTCTTTCTTGATGTACAATCTATCCTTCTTCTTTTTTTCTTTTTTTTTTTTTTTATTGCATCCAATCTTTGCAATTTATAAAATATTTATCACATAATAGCATGTTTTAAAATTATGTGATAAGATTTATAATTTTTTATCTTTTATAATTAATTTCTCCATATATTTTTGTACACCCAATTTTTTTTTTTGTGATTTTTATTATGAAAATTAATAAATCTAGTAATTTACATGCAAAAAATATATTAAGTTCTTAAACATTGTCTAGAAAATTCTTTGTTGGTAGATTGTAGTATATTAATATTTTTTAAGTAATTTTTATTTTTTTATTTTATTAATAGATACTTATAAAATATGTCATTTAAATTTTAATTTCATCATATCTTCATAACTATATACTTAATTTTTAATAGATAGGTAAAAATTTTAATAAATGAATAGATTATTATAGTCAATTAGTATTGGTTTTAATTATGATATCATGATTTTTCACTTGTATCTTTGATATCTATTTTATTTCATATTGTAAAGTTATAACTATGTTTAAGACTTATTTCCTTATTATTTTCTTAATACTGTATTAGATAAAGTCTTCTATGAGAATGTACCAAGAACTTATTTGTGAAAGAAAAACTTTTATTTTGCTCCAAACATTCTTTAACTCTAATAGGTTTTAACACCTATAATATTTTAATTCAAAAAAGAATGCTTAGAAAAAATCTTTTCAAAAACTCCAGTCTTCTTTTTAAATTATTATTTATTTTAATAAATTTTAACAAAAAAAATCATTTAGTTGGATTTTTAGATTAGTAAAATAATTTGTAAGCTGGTACTAGATTTAATTTTTATACTTCTACTGAAACTTGGAATTTAGTCTTATTTAAACATCGTCTAGTTGCATCCAAGATTCTTACTTGGATATACAACTCAATATATAAATATCTAGAAATTACAAAAGTCTCAACTTATTTTAATTTTTTAACCTTTGATAATTTTTTGTGAATTTTGTCAAAGATCGCCAGATTCTATTGTTAAGATAAAATAAATAAATAGTATGTTAATCATATACATCCAAAGATTTATTAAATATATATTTTAGATCTAACATTCAAAGTAAAAATAAATCCAAACTTCACACCATATCTTTAATACGTTCAAATTATTGTTAAAAAATAGAAGTTGATTATAATTGAAATTCTTTTATGTCCTTTCGAAGCCATAACATTGAAAATCTTTTATTCTTGGAATTCTCTTAAAGAGAAATATCTAATCACACCTTTAAAATTCTAAAACAAATTCATTAAATGCCATGGGTATCATTTTTGTATCTTAGGATTAATTTTTGATCTTTTGTTACAAACATTTGTTTTCCAAATACCAACATCGTTCTTTTTGTGATTCAATTGGCAGAACTCTAATTATATTCTTGAAATGGACATATAGATTTTTATTTATTTTTTGCTTTTTATCTTTTTAATCTAATCTACTTCATCTTCATCAAACTATGTTTCTACAAGAGAAGTAAAGACAATCAATTACAAGATACAATTTAAAACATAAACATGTCAATCTAATTAAAATTTATTAAATATCAAGACACTAGAAAATTCCAATAACTTGTATATGAGTTTTAATTGTATATCTTCAGTAACCAAAAATAATAAAGTAACAATCTTAAACTCATTGGTATCAATTTTTTTACTAAGTTGTTGTATTACAATATTGTTGGTTTGAAATCTAATATCCCTTATAAGCAAGATACTACTTGAGGAATATCCTTTTTGGAAACTCTTGTTTGACAATTCTTTCAAAATTATCCTTGTTGATATCTTTAATGTTATAATATTATAAAAATAAATCCAAACTCTATAAAATTTGCACATTAAAATTGTGAATCTACTATTGAAACATGCAAACACTTTCTACTATTTATATAGCACAAAAAGCAATAACTTTTGTATATCCTTTGTATAGTTTGATTAATGTTTCAAAACAATTCTTTCTTTCTTTCTTTCATTTTCTTATTCTTTTTTAAAAGATACATATATTATTGCATTATAGGATCTTTTTATTTCTTCCAACACTTGATTTAAATGACTCAACTATAATAAAAATTGATTTACAAGAAAGAGGAGAAAATCAAAAACAAACTTTTAAGAAACAAACAATAACTATATGTTTTTCTAAAGATGTAATTTTGTTCTCCATTATCTTCTATTTCCCTTGGCTCCACTTGCACTACAAAACCCAAAGTATTACATAAGATGGAATTTGAAGTAGCTTGCCAAAGATATGTCCAATTTGGTGTAGCTCTTGAGTTTGCCTAAAATCTTCAAAAAAAATTGAAAACAACTACTTTTTCATGGTGGTCTAAATAAAATTTTATTCAATTTTTAACTATTCGGGTACACAACTCCACTGGAGTAACTATAATTTTAATATATATATATATAATACATCTTTTTTACACTAAAATTAATTACTCCTCTTAAGGTATGTTGTTTGCTTTTTTTTGTAAAGCTAAGATTGCTGCAATCTTGACAGAAACAACTTCAACAAAACAACAAATTGAATCTACTATAAACACAAACTTTAAACCATTGGTATCCACTATTACTTCAAGCTTAGCCTATTATATATATATATATATATTAAAATGTTTGTTTGTTTGTTTGTTTGTTGTTTTTTTTTTTAAAGAAATATTTCTTACATTGTGACATACTCCAAGTTGATACAAACAAATTGGTCACGTCAAACATGTGTGATGATCTTCCATGATACATGACATCTGATGAAAAACACTACTCTCAGCACTTAAACTAACATTTTTACACTTGTTGACGAAATAAATAAGTAAATAATTTCTCGCACTGTCCGAACAGAATCAACAGTGCTTTCAAACAGTCCAAGCGATGCCACGTGGGAAAATACCACCATTAGAAAGCCTCCAAGTGACAACCTTTGACTGGCCACAAACCAATGAACAAATGAGGTTCAAGTCGATGGGGATAGCGCTGCCCCTCCTGAGTAGCTTCCTTGTCCACGTCATTCGGCCTAGCTGGCACACCACCTGTGTATGCCACCTTGTGGAATCTTCTGAGCTCGTGAGCTACAGAAAGGGTCTAGATCTAGCGGCGCTAAACCACGTGACTTCTGTGAGCCGTCTATCTATCCACCATACCTCCCCCACCCTTCCCCAAAGCTACAATTGGCGCTTCGGCGAGGGGATGTTGACCTAACTCTTGTTTCCCGAATCCACCACTTTCATTCTCCACCGACTCTCTATGCACCCGGACCACGTTCATCAACAAAACATCCATGACATGATGTGTTTCCAGGAGTTTATCGTGTGTGGGGATGATTGGTGCCAGGTATCAGCCGCGTTATCCGCCATCTGGATCTGATGGTGACGTGGCGTACAGTTGTCTTGAGAGAGAAGCTTTCTACTGAAGCTTCGCTTGGAGGCATTGGATCTAAATTTAGAGTGAAAGGGAGACTTGGTTCCTCAGTTAACTTCTATAGACTGCCGTGTGGTCTACTCGCCCCCAAACTTGAAGGTGCTTTTTAACTGGGAAAATCTTTTATTACGGGAATGGCCCCCCTTGCACACTCAGCAAGCGAGCTGCACAAACCGAATCAAGAGTTTAACTAGAGGAAAGGGAACGATAATTTATGGTTTAGCTTTTTTCCCTAACTGGAGATTGCCTCAGATTACAGTGCCCTTGAAGAGAATCCAACCTTGATAATTCCGTGAAATGCTTTAAAAAAGGATGGTATAAAATACCCATAAATATAATCGAGTGTGACGACTTGATATAATATACTGATGTTCATTCTCTACGTTCATAAGTATTATCAATATACTGAAAATTATACTCCCCTGTCTCACTCCGATTCTCATGGAGAATTAATTGAGGACCTGAAGAGTGTATTATTCTTGCTTATTGTGGAGGGATATACTATCTGGATTTATTCTAATCATAGTAACCGTGCTTAAAATAATGTACCTGGACAAGACTGCCGCAAGAGTGAACCTGCTGATATATCCACTTGTAAATTACTTTAGGGCACCTTTACTAAATATTATTATTGCTGTTAATAAGTAAGTATATAACAATATCATAAATTTTACTCTAAAAATGAATATTGATGTATGAAAAACAGATGTAGTTATATTCTACTTGTAACGCTTTCTCAAAAAACCAAAACTAAATTCTTGTACAATTCTATTTATGAAATTCTTCTAGGTTATCAAGCTTTTACTAAGTCGTTTACACTTATTTCTGCTTCAAAACTTAAGATTATTTATTTTTCTTAAAGTAATCCAACAATAAGTTTCACCATTTGCTAAATGCGAAAACTTCAAATACTTATGTGGGGAAATACTTTAAAAACACAACACATTGAAAAAAAGTAGCGACAGGCTGTAGTTTTATTGTTCTCAATGACTGTGATTGTTAATCGACGAGGGAAATGTATCACACGTACTATTTGAAGTTTAAGAAAGTCCTTGCTACTGCAATTTTACATTTATAGAAATACAAAACAATGAACTCAGCCAAACCATGTGTTTTGGACACGCTTGGATGTCTCGCACACAGCTCAACGAAGGGAAAGAGAGAACACCTCACAATTGAGAATCGCTGAGGTTCGAACTCACGGCCACCCCCGGACACTTCGGACGAACCGCATAGTTAGGGCCCGATTCACACGAGCAAGTGCACAACCCCCTCACCTGTAACTTCGAGATTCTTCGGCCACGTACTGACGCCAGGTAATCCGGTTGGGCCCGTTCTAGAATAAGCTGCAAAGATAACCACCAGCACGTTTCACTGGAACGGACAGAACGGGTCAATGGGAACCCGCGATCCATGATCTAGCGGGGCAAGAGTTCCTGGAGGCACCGCCATGTAGGCTAAAGAAGACAGGGCCAAGCTGGGCGAGACCGGCACGCGGCTCCCCCCAGCGAAGCCGCACCTGCTTCTCACTGGAAGGAGCTCTGTCAGCTGCCTGCTTACCCCGGAGCCGCCACCAAGTCTCTTTGTTGTATGAAGCTTACAAGCTCGATCCCTCTCTTCCATCGCTCGTAAGCATTGTTGCCTTAAGATCTCATGGTTGCTGTTCTCGGTCTCAATTTCGTTTCGTCGCAAGCATCTACCGCTGACTATTCCACTCTCGCAGTTTCTCCTCCATTGCTGCTCTCGGTCCCGAATGAGAGAGTCAGTCTTTCCTTTCCCTGGTGCAGTATTTTTTTTTCTTCTTCTGCGGATGCGTATATGATGGGGGAGAAGCTGAAAGAAACGGAGTAGGGTTGCGCGTCGAAGAGTGAGTGGCTCGTTCGTTGCGATTTAGTGCCAGTGCATCGTTACATCTGATTGTCGAGCAGTTTGCAATTTTGTCCTTGTCTTTTCGTGCAATTTTATTTTTATTTTTATTTTTTGTTGAGAGTGGGGAAGTCTGAAGGCCATTTGTGCGCATCCGAGGTTTGGGCTTGAGTTGTCTCCGAAGCCGCCTTTTTGTGGCTGGATCTTGGTTTACGAATACAAGAGAGTTCTTGTGTTATTGTCTGCTCTGAGAATTTTGAGGGTTTTTGAGTTTGGGGATTACGGTTGGGAAGCTGGCAGTAAGTAGTCGGTGACGATCATATTTGTGAGTCATTAGTATCTTGGAGTTTAGAATAGTAAACTTCCTACAAGATCATAGTGCTGTTGTCAAGATTGCACTTGTTCTTAAAGCTTGTGGCCGCACGAGAGGAGAGGAGTCTCTTTGTAAAGTCCATGAAGATTTAATATTTACAAGGAGCCTTGGGCGATGAACTTTTCCTATTGCACCAAATTCCTGGTTTGAATGAAAAAACAAACAAACGAAATAAATAAATAAATAAATAAAAAATAATGAAAATCTGGGAACGGGCGTTTGTGATGCCCGCGTATTGTCCTCGGCATTACAGGAATTGCTCCCTGGGTGTTTCAGAAGGAATTCGGTTGCTGATATTATGATGAGTTGTATATATTCATAAGCTGGTGTCCCTCCTACTGCGACAGCCACGATTTCTTCTTCCATTTTCTAATTTTCTTCCGGTTGCCAAGAATCAGTTCATTGGCAAGAATGGTAGGTATGACTTTGAACTGACCTCATGGTTACAGGTCTTCGAAGCGCATGGTCAGATTTAGCTGCGTACAGAGTCCGTAGAAGAGGAAAAAAGTATTTTAATAAGGTGGCTGTCGAGAAGTTGCATTTGGTCGTCCTTCTGTGGAGCTCCGAAGGTCTGTTTCTCGACTGCGAAGAACTTTGAGCACTCTTGAACTTGAGAGACCAAGATGAGGCCTTCCAGGTGCTGAGGAACGTATCTTGTAAACACTTTTGGTGGAATATATTGTTAGTAGTGCAAATAGCTTAGAAAAATGAAGGCCACTTCAAGTCCACGATCGGTGGCAGCAGTTGACCGGTGCGACATGAAGAGCAAGTGCTTATGGCCCAGCTATGGCATGTATACCAAGTGCCACGATAAGCTCCCCTACCGCGGCTGCGGTCTCTCGACAACCCTTTTGTATTATATCATGTCATTTATCTTCTTCTCGATCGTGGGAGTGTTTTACGCTTGGTTAGCATTCTCCCCATACAAGAATATCAGCGACGCAGTATCTACTGGCTGCCAGCCAGACAACGAAGGCTCATGGAGTATCGGCCTGTTCCGTGGCAGCTCCCCTTTCTCGCTGAAGCCGATTGAGATGGTAATAATTCTCTCTCTGTCTCTCTCTGTCTCTTTCTTTCCCTCTCTTCCCACCGAAGGTCAACGCCTGATAAAGCTGACCAAATAGTTGGGGTATCGGGTTTATGTTAGCTTGGTTCATGAAGATTATCTAAAAACAAGCATACGAATTTTTCTGACAATGATAGTGTAATTAGTAAGTTCCTCTTGGTGCGAATTCGGGGTCTAAATGTCGGAAGTTCGGAGGTGTTGGTTTAGAATTATGTGCTCTAAAACCAATTGACGTCGTGTATCTGCAGACAAATGCGCCAAATAATGAAACAGCAGCGTGGCCTGTTGCGAATCCAGTATTCACATGTGCCTCTGTCACTAGCTTGACGCATCCTAGTAATTTTGTTGCAGACCCCTTTCTGTACATTTTGGTGAGCACACTGCACCTGCCACGACCTAAGAACAATTTATTTTTCATAAATTAGGCTACGGTTGATATCTTGGAGTTTAGACTCTACCGCATAGGTGTTTTATTATAACAGAAATGGCATTCTTTAAGGGTTTTAGCGGTTTAATTGCACGTAAGAACACTATTCTTGTTGAATCTAATGATGTGTTTTTCTTGTTTTCCTAAAACAGGGCTCCAAAATGTACCTGTTCTTTGAGACGAAGAACAGTCTTACTATGCAAGGAGACATCGGTGTGGCTGAAAGCTCAGACCAAGGGCTAACATGGAAGTATTTGGGCATCGCTCTCGACGAAGAATGGCATTTGTCCTATCCATACGTCTTCGAGTATGAGGGCGAGGTTAGATATATTCATTTCCTACCATTTATTTCTATGCACTCAATTGCTTCAATCGGACGTCTTCAGATTATTTATGAAGATTATGCTCTGTTCATTCCGGATGCTTAATTATAATCCTCCGTTTTCTTTAGCAGATATATATGATGCCTGAAGGCAGCAGGAATGGAGATCTTCGTTTATACAAAGCAACAAAATTTCCCGTGCAATGGGAGTTTCACAAGACTTTGATAGACCAGCCTTTGGTGGATGCATCAATGGTGCAGCATGACGGAAACTATTGGATGTTCGCCTCCAATCATAAGCGATTCAATAGCCGTAAGAATGGTCAGCTGGAGGTATGGGTAGCACCGTCTCCTCTTGGGCCTTGGAAAGAACACTCAAAAAACCCCATCAGGAATGGGCCGAAGAGTGATGGGGCTCGAAACGGGGGAAGTCCCTTTGTGCACGAAGGGAAGCTGTACCGTCTTGGGCAGGACTGTGGGGAGACTTACGGACGTCGATTGCGAGTCTTCCATGTCGTGACCTTGACGAAGGACCTCTACCACGAAGTCGAGGTGCCGCTCAATTTAGAGGAGTCGAAGAAAGGTCGCAATGCCTGGAATGGCATGCGATATCACCACTTGAATCCGCATCAGCTGCCTTCTGGTGAGTGGATTGCGGTAGGGGATGGAGATAGAGTTCCCTCAGGTGACCTGGAGATGCAGCTTGCCCTTGGGGTTGGAGCTCTCTTGATCGTCGTCTTGTTGAGTATCACGGTAGGCGTGGTTTCAGGCTACGGTCGCTGTTGGTTGCCACCTCTTTCGATCACACTCCCTGGAAGCAAGAAACCCACCGAAACTTTGCTACCATGGGTGATGCGTCCACAATTGTCTGGCCGGCTTTATAGAAGTGTGAGCCGTTTGAACAGAGTCGGGTCTACTCTCCGCAAGAGCCTACCGGCGAACTCATGTTTCCGGTGCTCATTTGGTGTCCTGTGCTTCGTCATCAGTGTCTGCGCCATTTGTGTTGTGGTAAGCTCCTTCTTCGGTGGGAATGGGGCACAGGAGCCACACCCCGTTAACGGCCAGTACTCTCAATTCACCATGGTCGCCATGACATACGACGCCCGCCTCTGGAACCTTCAGATGTACGTCAAGCATTACTCCCGCTGTACATCTGTTCGCGAGATTGTTGTGGTGTGGAACAAGGGCACTCCTCCGAACCCGGCGTTGGATTTCGACTCAGCCGTCCCGGTGCGGATTCGTGTCGAGCCGAAAAATTCGCTTAATAACCGATTTAAACCAGATCACTTGATCAAGACAAAGGCTGTTTTAGAGCTGGACGACGACATCTTGATGACCTGCGACGACGTCGAGCGCGGGTTCAGGGCATGGCGAGAGCATCCCAACAGATTAGTTGGATACTACCCCCGTTTGGTCGAAGGCAATCCTCTGCAGTACCGAAACGAGCGATACGCGCACTCTCAAGCGGGATATAACATGATCCTCACGGGCGCCGCGTTCATGGACAACGAGGTCGCATTCTCCAAGTACTGGAGCGAGGACGCAGCCAAAGGGCGCGCTGTAGTGGACGAGCTCTTCAATTGCGAGGACATTCTCATGAATTTTGTCCTTGCAAATCAAACATCGGAGCGTGCACTGGAATATGTCCACCCTGCCTGGGCCGTGGACACTTCCAAGTTTTCGAGCTCGGCTATCAGTCGGGACACGCAAGGGCATTACGCTAAGCGAACGGAGTGTTTGTCACGCTTCTCGGAGCACTTCAATGGCATGCCGCTGAAGAGGTGGGATTTCTTGAGCCGTCAGGATGGGTGGGACAACTGATTCCGTTGGCAGCAGAGAGTAGAAACAAGTTCAGCAGTAATATGGTGTAAAATCATATACTGTTTGTACTTTGTACATTAGCTTTCGCGACTGTATTTTAGAGGTCTAGACGGTGGAATGAGCACAGTGACCCATATAATTGAAGCTCACTTGAGATATCAGGAAAATATGTGTGCTTGGTGATGATGCAACCAGGGTGACGACAATGAATATATCAACGTTGCCACTGTTATCTCCGCAGGCTGCCCTGTCACTTAAGGTAGAAGCTGAAACTACTCTATCTTGCCCACACTTGTATACTGGATACCAAAAATGTAAATTCTCCTCATATAAATTCTACCTAACTTTGAACTCGAGCTTTGTAAGGGGTGGCATTGTAGGTTGTGTTTTTGTCTTGGTTTACTTTTGGTGTTTCATTTGTTTCATGCACAAGCCGAAAGGAAAAGCGAAAAGAGAGGTATTGAATCGGTTCTTTATTCATGAAAAAGAAAACTAAAGTGGTATCATTCTGTGCAAAGCTTTGTCATGTATCGTCTTATTTCGTTCGAAAATCATGAAAGCGTTTGAGAAGTTCAATCACATGAACGATACTTCTTTGAAATGCCAGTGGCAAAAATTAGAAATTTTATCCATTATTCTCACGTAAGACTGCAATTTACATTCGAAGAAAACAGATGCATGATTTTTACCTGAATATAAAGACTTAGATACACAAATTTATGTAAAAATTTCAACCCTGATGTTCAGAGTCGCACAAGAGTATAATTGAGGGGTGGAGCTGAAATGAGCCAGCTCAAAGAAACATCCCGCGGCAACAGAAACTTGAAGTGGAGGAGTTTGTTCGGATGCAACATCCAACCAATGCTTCATAAACACACTGTAAGAATAGACCTGCGAAGAAGTTATAATCTGAGACAATCAATTACAATATAAATATCTGGTTGTTGGCTTCCCTCACATTGCCTGGATTGAGGTTATCTTAGTACGAACTTGTTCTTCTGGCAATCTTTCATTGATAACACTTCGTCGGATGCATACCAGGGCACTCGAAGGCTGAACCATCCACGTTTAATCTTGTATGCGCGTTCTTTTTCACTGTCGTACTCCGTTTCTGCTTATGAGCCTCAAATGCAGCTATCTGTCCGAGAAAAATCAAGTATCCTATGAATTCAATTACCAAGCATACGCAAAAAGAGAAGAGCGTGCCTCAAACTTTTCAGAATAATCGAAAGTTCTGCGAACTTATCCTGACCTGTGCCTCACGAACTCCATCGTCAAAGAGAGAGAGAAGTTTGTGTGGTTGGAAGAAAAGATGATTGGCCACAACTGAACATGCATCCAGAAATTCAGCAAATCTTCAGCAAGAAAACCAGTAAAAACTCAAGCCAACACAATTCAGTACAAAGACTTTCTTCTAGTCCATACAAAATTTTGCAATACAAACTTCACTCAGAACTTGCAGAAGGTGGGTAGTTCGAAGAGGATGCAGTGTGGGGCAGGCACGCTGGTAGTGTCAGGAGCTGGAAGCGTTAGCGCCTGGAAGTAGCGAGCGATGTCAGGACCTGCTGCGAAGCACCGGTGGTCGGGTGGTAGAATAGATCCCTACCATGGTTCAGACCTGGGTTCAACTTTCGGCCGGCGCAGGTGCAGAGTGTCACGTCATCAGGAATAGCTCAATTAGGTAGAGCGGATTCGTAAGCGAGTTGCAGTCGAAGAGCTGTGGTGTAGCTGTTAGGAAGCATGTTTGATAAGCTATCGGGTGGTTTGGTTGAGTGCAAGTCGACGGGGTTCGGCATTTCTGTGGAGACTTCTGAAACTTGTTGCGATTGTTGGGGGGTGTTGTTTGTTCTTATCAGTACGGATGCAGCAAAGGAAGCGAGTCTGTAGTGAAGCGAGTCTGTAGCGAAACGATTGAGGAAGTCTTCCCGTGAAGACGAAGGTTTCATTTTCAAGAGTTACAGATAAGAATCACAGGCATTTGCTCCTCACGAAGACCAGCCCCTCTCCACATACTTCTCCCGACCATGGTAGATTGTTCTGATAGTGCAGGTCATTCTTTACGCTGCATGCCTTCGCCCGCCGATCCCTGCTTCCTCGAGAAACGTCCTCGGCTCTAAGTTTTTCAGATACAAGATAGTCCCCTCCTCTCTTTGAGCCATAAGTTGCGTCTCCATTGCTAAATTTATTACAGGGTTCCCAGTCAGAACACCTCATTTCATACGCCACTTGTTCCTACACTCCCAGAGTGTCTGGTAGCAATGGCAACAGTATTCACCCCTTTAAAGCACCAAAGTATGAGAAGAAACAAATTATGAATATTTAATTGGAATTAGATTTGACAGCTACTGGAATAGCTCAGTTGGTTAGAGAGTGCGGGCAGAGCGAGGCGAGGCGGCTAGGGTTCCGTGAAAATCGGAGTCACAGATCCGACTTTTTAGGAAACAAGATCTCTCGTACCTTTGGAGTGTTAGTTAATCTTAGTAAGAGTCCGCATAGTTTTTTGATTCCCTAGGGGAACTTGAAACACCATCCTGGCAACAATCACGAGCTCGTAGAACTTGGAATTTTTCGAAATGGTCATACTAGATCTCAGAGTGTACCGGACAGGCCTAGATCGGCCTCGGAGCCAAACAATCGTTTGCCCCCGAGTTCAGCTGAGACCACAGTTATGAGGAGCACCACATTTAGGAATAGCGAAAGACTACAATCTCAAGCCCGCCAAACGGCCGGACCAAGGAACGCGGCGAAACACAAAATAGATAGTACTCAACGACGTGAAAGGGTGAACACAAGGGAAGTACAGGAGGAAGGGACCGTAGCGAAGCAACGGAGCACACAGTATCATCTCAACGCAACCATTGCGGAGCAACGGTGTGCACAATACCAATTCGAAGTGACAGACACACAGGTAAGCTCCCCTCACACGCTCCTGGATTGTCACAGTGCAGAAACGATTTATAGCAGTCTAGGGACTTCTGCCAAAGCATTCATGGGCAGTTTTCAACTGGAACCGTATGCTAAAGTGAACGAAATTCCACTACAACAAGATAGCACCCAAACAGTGGATAGACCAAAGGTTAACCCAACACCGGATATAGCAGAAGATCCAGCAAACTCGCCACGCCAAGTTAACCCCACCTTCCCCGTCGAACCAACGACACAATGACATCATGATAGCCCATGCATCATAGATAAACCAGAAGACGATTCATCAGAAGCAACATTACTGAAATCCCCAGAGATAGGTCTGTCACCACCTATCACAGCAACGGAAACGGAACCTATACAACAATTGTCGCCCAAAAGATATATGGAACGCAACACATCCCTTGCTCCCAACCTGGATGAACCCGACTCCATCGATATTCCCAAAATGGATGCAACGGCACAAGTGCTAGCAACACAACTCGTCCTAAATATCAAGGAAATGATTCAAACACGCTGGATAGAGATTGAGCACTACATCAAAAAAAATCCACATCTAAGACACAAGGCCCCGGTCGAAGAAGAACTACAAGAAACGCTAGACAAGATTTGTCTGGATGCCGAAGTCGTCCTAACAGCTAGCGAAATCACCCCTAAATCTCTAGGCAGATCTCAAACGGCTCCTCATAACATTCCGATTATACAGCCATCGAGTACCACACTGCAAAGACTACAAGCAGAATCCATGAGTATGCAAGCAAAGGCATTAATAGGTTATGCCAGACGTAACCTGGGTCCCAGACTCCTCCAAGAATGGGCCACAAACATGCTCCATAAATCCTTCACAATTCTAACCATGTTGGGAGGAGGCTTCTTCGAAATAGTATTTGAAGAAGAGGAAGGCAGGCGGAATGCACTGGCACGACCACACCACTTCAAACAAACGGAAATTCTTCTCATGACCTAGAAACCAAACTTCACCGTAGGATCCATGGGAGGAGTAATCAAACTAGCACATCCGGCACAGGCTCAAATCCACGGACTTCCCACATTACTGCGATCAACACAAATATTAACAAAAATCATCAGTCAAGGGGTAGAGGTGATTTGAGTAGAAACGGATGGCCATTATAGAGAGAAAGCTGCAGGCTCAAGGGTCAGAATTCTAGTACAAGACATAGACTCTCTCCCAGCTACAATAAATATTTCAGGTATCCAAGGAGGGGGCGTAAAGGAATACTATATTGAATATAGTGACCTTCCCACCCATTACAGCAGGTGTAAAAGCACCTTGGCACCGTACCTCTTTTTATTCATAGCAGATGTCTTGAGATATATGCTGAACGACCCCAAATGGCAAGTACAAGGACTCACACTACCGGACAACTCATCCCTAAATAATCAGAAGTTCGCAGATGACACTGCACTCTTCCTAAAAGGAACCGCAGAAAACCTCACAAGAGCAATGCGAGCTCTAACTTGGTTTTGTGACGCCTCCGGGGCAAAGATCAACTAGTACAAAACTTGTGCGATCTGGGCATCCTATCACGGACGTAGCTGAAATTGGAAAGAAGATCTGAATTTAATTTGGAAAACCACAGGCCAATTTGTCAAGTATCTTAGCTTCCATATAGGTTATCAATTACCAGCTGAAGAACGGGGAAACAAGGTAGTACAAGAAATTACTAAACAGCTGGTAAAGTGGGGACCCAGAAAGTTGTTCCTAGCTGGAAGACTACTAGCAATCAATCAGGTTATAATTGCCTCCATGTGATACCTAGTTTCATGCTCCAGCATAGAAACTAAGATCTATACCCAGATCCGTGCTATGATCAGAAATTATCTATGGGGTGGAATAACAAGTGGCAAAGCAAGGGCTAAGGTCAAATGAGACACAATAATCCAACCAATGACACAAGGAGGGCTCAAGTTAATTGACCTCGCCACACAAGCTAGGGCACTACTAGCAAAATTAATCGCTCGGGGGCTTACTCCTGGTCTAGAACCATGGAAAATCATGGTTAGACATAGAATGGAAGCAATCAGGTTCAAACAAAACAGACAGTGGTATCCGAGGTAGTATTGGTTGATAGGAAACAACTTACAAGTGTGCCCACAAGGATCTGATTAGTGGAGAAGCGCCAGTGCAGCGTGGAGCAGTGTACAACACGGATTATCACCTCTTCCACCACTATACAGAGACAAAATCCTTCACCGACCGATCTGTGGCAACCCCAGAATAGTGGATGTTGAGAGAAAAATGTTAGGCCAAGATAAAACGGACTAATTCATTCAATGGTCGAGAAAAGGCATAGACTTGCTTTTAGACGTATGGAATGACAATAGACGCAACTGGTACACAGCCACCCACCTCCGACAGAGAACGGAACGTCGGCGTGCAGACCTCCAGCATTACCAGCTCCAGGGTTGC